CAACGGAACGCAAATAGTAATTGCACATTAGACGGATTGATTGTTTTGCTCTTAACCTGATCGTATTCCCTTCCTCGTTGTCATGCTTCCGTAATAATTGATCAAACAGGCGATAAGAGTGCACAATTTTTTACATTGACATAAACATTAATTCGGATGTAAGATTTTTAAGTTATTCGAAACTAATAAGAAAGTTTAAAGAAGAATTTAACAACAGTAGATGAACATTTTAAATATTGAAATCAATTTTGTAGTTGGCACAAATTAGACCATAAATTTTGAAAATTTAAATTGGATTTTATCCGCCTTTATGTTTTCAAGTCATTTGCGTATATAACGGATTTATTATTGATAAATACTTTATTGGTATTATTAACGAAGAGAACAAATAATATAAGTGTAAATGAGTATCTTAAAGAATACCAGGAATAATACACTACGTTTTTGGACCTATGCAAACTATTTTTTTAGAGTACTGAAATTTTGGTTTTTAATAAATAACAATAATAATATTAATATCTAGGTGAGCTTTATGCAATTAACATTAATAAATAAAGTATTGTGACGGTTAGGCTATTGGTGGAAGAGAGCGCCTACTAGTGGACTCATCAATAGACTGCGGATGTTTCTGCATTTGTAAGAAATTTTAGTTCTCAAAAAACTACAGAATGCACTTAAAATGCAAAAATATAAGAAATATTTAAAGATCCGAATTATTATATATAGAAGCTGAGACAATCCTCAACAAAGTTCCCATTTCATTAATTCTATTAATAAAAATATGAATTTGCATAAAGATTCGCAATCTACTCATCAGTAAAGCAACCTTGGCGCTTTGCCTTAGGTGCTAAGAGGAATGTATAGATAGGAATAGGTGGTCAGACGAGTATGTATGTACTTGTGAGAAAGACAAGAGCGTGGCCCTCTGGTGGCGAATGCGAGAAGCGTCGCCACAAAATTTACAAATACGACAACGTAAAAATTCAATCAGAAATCTTGTACCAGAATACGAAATAATACAATTTATATTCGTGTCATTTATAATACTTCTTTTTTTTATCAATACAAAGGTAATATATTTAAGGAAAGAGTTTAATTCCTTTTTTAAAAATTATAAACTTTCAAATTCCCCAGTTTTTTCCTTTAAAAATAAGTTCAATAGTAACATAAATTAAATAAGATCCTACATTAATTAATAAATGATAAAAAAAATTGAGACAAATATGATTCCAAAGTATTCTGTATCTTTAATTCTTCAAATGACAAAATGATCTTCGCTTTTAATCGAGGAAAGCTTGCAATATTCTCCTCATTTTTTATTCAATATGGACCATAGATAGAAATCAAGGGGTGACAGGATATCCCCGTGACCAGTTTATTGGATCACCACGGTCTATTCGAGCTTCGTGTCGTTTATTTGATAAATTTTAACTTTGCTAAAAAAAATGAGATTCGGTACTATTATTTTAGAAAACAAAATTTTCTGTAATAGTCAGAGTTATGTTTTCTAACAGATTGAGCAAGTAAAAACTTTAAATATTCTGTTCCATTTGCATTATTTGAGAATAAATGAGGTTTTATGATTTAATTCCTAATTATTCTTGCCCAGACATGCACGCTGCATCTTACTTGATGAATATTCTAAATCGATTTTCTCGAAAACAAAGCCTGAAATGAAAAAATTTAATTCTTTATTTGCAATTCGTTTTTTCACTAGGATACACTTTAGTGTAGTTTTGCAAGCAGAAGGATTGTGGATAAAATACCAAAAATAAATAACATATTAAATACTGTTAAATAATAGACGAGTTTCAAAACCGAGTCAATCTATTTTTTTGTCAATGCTAAACAAACAGGCATTCATTTTTGAAAAAATTTCTTATGTTATGTTAACAACAATACATGCGTATAATGTTTCTTTTTTTATATTCTTTTACATTTTTAACAATAGATAATAATTTATACCAACGGTTCTCAACCATTTCTTCTTGCTTACTCAAACAATGTACAGGATGGATCACCTAAGTAAGGTCACCTAAATAACATTATGTTGCAAAAATATTTTTTTCCAATGTAATTTTTTTCACATTATACAAGGTTATTGATGTTTTTTTGCGTATAACTGTATAATTCTTATTATTGCAACGTTAAGCTGATGTAAAAATACGTTCATATACGTACATTACGTGACCTTGAAATGACCTTTGAGTTCAAAATTAAATGGAAACGAAATATTTGTTGCCTATCGAGATTTTAGAGACGAAGGCGTCGTGCAGGAATTGGTAAATGTAAATTAAACATGTTTTATATTACGAAACAACATTATGAAATTTATAATACTTTATAATTCCAATCTGCCATTGTAATAAGTGCTCGCGAAATGATGTCCCTCCACAAAGTTACATCTTTTTAAACGTAGAATAAGAGACTCTGTGACCGTGACAAGCTGTCATTATTCTGTCTTTTATGTTCTCTAGCGTTGTTAGTTGCTCACCATCGACATGATCAAAAAAATTTCTTTCAGTACAATCGAAGAACTTGCCTTATTATTCTTTTCTTTTCTTTTTCTTTTGCTTTGAGTAACATATTGCAAATGAAAATATCGATTAACTGAGGAATTGTTTAAAAATGATCAAACTTGTGTGATCATAGTTAAGCATGTTTATTTGCACTTACAGATTTTTACACGACGTCTTCGTTTCAAAGGCTCGACTGGCAAAAATTTTTCGTTTTTACTTAATTTTTGAACTCAAAGGTCATGTAATGTACATACATGAACGTATTTTTATACGCAAGAAACAGCAAAAATTTGTGAAAAAAATAATATTAGAAAAAAAATATTTTTTGCAACATAATGGTTTCTTCAAATCATTCAAATAGCATACAAAATATTTTATGTAGCCCCACAATTGGAAGAGATGGCCTTATTTAGATGGACCTCCCTGTATGTATGATCAAGTCACATATTACTTTGTAGGTAGTGTCTATTTGACAATATGAAAACATTTTTACTAGAAAATTCTTACTTGTAGATAAAAAATTGGGACCGATAATAAAAATTCAGATTTCGTTCAGTTCGTTTATTTAAAACAAGTGTTATAATAAAAATCAAATTATCAAATTCAACGAGAAATTTGTATGAAGTTCAGTTTGCAATTGTGCAACGTCGCAATGCAGAAAAAGGACAATAGGTTTAATTTAGTGTCGATAGAATTGAAAATTTCTGTGATAGAAGCTATTTAATTTCGTTTCTTTAAATTTGTTTACTCCCCTAACATTTTGTGCGTGCACATTAAACATATACTTTTTAAATCTGGTATAATTTAATTCGGTTCATGTATCGCCTGGAAATATTTTGCGTACGATAGGTTGAGAAACACTGATTTGCATAAAAGTTGCAGTTATCGGTTCAGTTATGCTCGTTACCGTATACGGGTTACGAAAATGTCGAGTGTAGTTGAATTTGGGCGATCTTTCCCTGTTGTTAAGACGTGTCCAAGGGGTGAGATTGCGACGTCGAAGACGATCGGGTGGTTGCCGGTAAACGTTCTCTCATCGTCAGCGATAACCACCTCCAACTGAAAGTTCGATGTTGTAAAGGGGAGGAGGGTGCAAAGATCCAGGCTAAATTCCCCACTAAACGTTGGTCGTGCAATCGACGGGGAGGCTCGGCTCGGGTGCGAGCAGCCCGAGTGGTCAATTAAGATCACCGGGAAGCGTCGATATGGTCTGCGCGAGCGTTCGAGAACGCGGCTAGCTGGCTCGCGTGCATCTGCGCGACTGCATCGCACGCGTAACGAGGAAAAGAGGGGTGACTCGGCGCGGTCGCGTCGAGGGAAGCCGTCAAAATGTCGAGGCTCGTGCATCCAGGTGGCACATGGAGCCGAAGACACCGACGGGGGAGGAGCCACTCTCCCTCTATTCCACGTCGTCTGTAACGATCGCCGGTCATCGATCCGCTATCGCATCAATGCGACGCTCGGTTGCTCAAGGAAACGAGCCAACGTCGACTCTGCCTCGTGCCTGCGAGCGTAACCGTGGATTCTCCCCTGAAGTATGTTTAGGATCGGCTAGACGTTTGCGCCCTGCGTTTACCGTGCATCAGAATTTCAGATGAAGCGAACGTCCGTCCGACGACTCTTGCGCTCGAGATTCCTACCCGGCGGTGATTTTCACGGCGAACTTTACACGATCGGTATCTCGTTAACTGTACGACACAACGATAGAGATACTTCGAAGATTGTATGCAACGAAACGATTTCGAACGTTTATAGAATCGTTATAGTTCGACGACCGCGTCGAACAGTAATAGGATTTAAACTGGCAAATCAATGCGTTGCGGAATCGCAGCAACGAAAGGTTCGATGACCGTGTAGAACGGCAAAGTACAAAGTTGTACGATTAAAAGTTGAACAGGGTAATTGGGATGTAGTAATCATCGATTGTTAGAGCGCATCGTAGTTGGAATTCAGGAAACAACCTCAATCCTGCGCCACCGTTGAGCCGAACGATCCGTTTAACCGGATCGTCCAAACTGCGTTCCGTTTAAACTTGGGGGTAATCGATGAGGGCCGCAGTGGAGGGAACGGGGGCAAAAATAACACGGTACATCGATCAGCTTCCGAAACGAGTCCAACGTTCGACCGTCGCGCCGACGGGAAACCTTCGTTCAATCCCGAGAAAGATTCAGAAGGATCAAGGAGGAAACGACGACGAATCGATAGACGGCGGAAGGGTTTCTTTATCCCGCGCAGAGGGCGAGACGGAGGCAAAACGGTTCTCGTCTCCTCGTGGCTCGACGTCCACCTCGTCGAGGGTGGGGAGAAGCCTCCCTCTGGCTCGACCCTCTTCCTCCTCCCTGGAGCTCCGACGTCGGATTCGTCGATGACGAAACGCACGTAAATTCGTCGACGTGCACGGTGCTGCCGCCCGCGAAATCAGTGCGACCGGAGTGCACCGCGACGAAGGAACGCGGGGTCTCCCGTGCGCGGCCTGCGGTTCCCGTGCGCGGCACGCGCGCCTCTTCTACGAAAGCCAGATACCGAGAGACGGCCGCGTAAATAGGTCGCTGGATGCGCGCACGAGACGCCGGACGGCGGATCGCGACGGTAAACAGCAGACTGGAAGGAACGACAGTCGAACAACGTCCGTGCGCCGGAACAGTGTTCCTAAGGGAGATACCAGCGAACCACTCGAATATCACAGAACAAAATAGAAACAGTATGCACGATATTGCATCATGAATCGTCGACGATGAGTTCGATCCGAACGGCTCTGTTCGGGTTCGCGTTTGTCAGGGTTAAACGGCCGTGTAAATACCGCGGTGAAAAGACACCTTAGCAAACAGGCCGCAGGATGCACGGGACGGATCGAGGGAGTAAATAATCGAGTTAAAAGGACGATCGTTCGATCCGATCCAAGTGGTGGAGCAGTGAGGATGTTTCGAACGGAAGATCATCCTGCGGAACGATTAGAAAAATAAAGGACGGGGGCGACGAGGGTTGTACGAAGCCGCGGAGGGAGGGAAAAGTACGAATGTGCGGCGTGAAAAACTGCATTACGAATTGAGGACGATCGGTTCGCTCGGCGCGACACATTCGGATTTAAATACGTCCAAGTGAACGATTAACTAAACATTGCGGATTATAACGATTTGTGTATTGACCGTTATTTCTTCGGCACGATCCAAGTGACGATTAACGTTATCTTCGTCGACGCGTAAAGGGGATGGTTTCGATCGGTTCTAGACTCGAGCGAGTTGTTGACGAATTTCAGGTCCCGGGAGCCGAAGAAATCGAAAGAGAAAAACATAATCAAGTTTAAAAAGAGTAACTGTTCGTTTTATCGATATAGGGAAAAGTGATATGAGACGAGCGTACCAGAAAGTTATAGCTCGAGTCGATAACAAGCGAGGGATTCGGATTAACAAAGGAGAGTTTCATAGGTGCGTGGTCGCCGAGCCGATTAGAGGCGGAAAAAACGAGAGCGAGAACGCCGTTGGAGGAAGAGGAAAAGCTTCGAGCATCGATCTTGTCCCCCGGTGCAGTTACCATGACGCGGCTGGTCGGATACGTCGAATTGCATGCAACGCGGAATCGGCGGCTCGTGTGGCCCTGGAGACGCGATCGGCGTAGCTATAGTTAATAGGCTGCTCCCGTGTCGCAGTCGACGGTTTGGACCGGTGGCCGCGGCCACCGAGGACAACGATGACGACCAAGAGGACAAGGACGACGTCGTTGGGGACGACGATGACGCCACGGGTGACGGAATTACAAACGCTGGGTCTTCCCGACGGAATGCGTCAGCCCGATCGAACGCCACTCGATGCACCCTTCCCTTACGTGCTCTTCCTGCGTTAATTTGATTCGATAGAACGGCGGGAGGAGCGAGAATAGAGAAGCGCATAGAGAGATACGACGGACGAGACGGAAGATAAATAAATAGAAAAAAAAAAACAGAAACGAAAAGAAGAAGGGGCCAATTTCGCGATTCTTCCAAATCACAAGAGACTACTTAGAACTCGAGCGTGCACTTGGGTAAAGAGTTTTGTCCGTGTTTATATCCGTCAGAAGCCCGCGCGCGGTGGTATTTGCGCGCTAGCTGCGGGCTGATAAGCAGGTGAGACCGAGCGAAGAAGTCGTTCTTTGCGCCGCGATAAGGACCGCCTTTTGTCGCAGAGATGGACTGCTGCAACTACGTCGAGGCTTACGCGGGAGGGGGTCACTTTTATCAGCAGCAACACTACTTCTGCTACGATAACGCGAACGCTGTCTACGGCGGCTATGAGTCGCCGCCGATCTCCGCCGCGATCGAGACTAACGCGCGGTATAACGGATCGATGCCGCCTGCCTACCCCACAGGTAGATGTCTAACAGGTTTGACGATCACTCGAGATTGATTTTTAATCGTCGGGATCAAACTTCGGAACTTACTGCCATGTTATTTTTTGGATAAATTTCCGATATTTTTTTATTTACTTCCGTAAATAATGTGAATTTTGAAAAATACGTCAAATAAAAGTTGTAGATCTCATCAAAATACATATTTTATGCCCTATTGATTTTTGTGATAAAGATAATACTTTCTGAGAAAAATGATAGGTAATTATTAACTTATACGGAGCCACCCTCGATTGCAATATCTTTTACATATGTTATCAGAACTAAAAATTATGTTTCAGCTGGACAAAATTGAACTTATAATAAATGGTTTTGAAACAGTTTTAATAATTCCGTTTATTTGCTAAATGTTACTGCAACTTTGGTGATGCCATTGGTTGGGCACATTTCTTCCAACCTTTAGCCGTCACATTGACATTGTTGGTCAGAATTATAAGTTCAATTTATTTTTTACTTGTTATTTCTCATTGTTTGGATAAACTTCCGAAAAAGGACATACTCCCGATTTTTTTTTACACTCTGGATTCTTATGTATATTGACGTGCTGATTACGAGTATGATAGTGGAAATTGGCGCAAATTTTATTTTCATAGCGGAAACCACGAAAAAACCATAAAAATCATAGTTTTTTATTTACTTCCGTAAATAATGTGAATTTTGAAAAATACGTCAAATAAAAGTTGTAGATCTCATCAAAATACACATTTTATGTGGTATTGATTTTTGTCATATAGACAATAGTTGTTTGAGAAAAACGATATTAAATGTACAAAACATCATATAACTTATCCAACACAAATAAAGTTTTATTGTTAATTTCATTAGTTAATGCTAGAAATGGATACAGCAATGCTCTTCCCTCGTCCACATGTTTTTTGTATCATTAGATTTTTAACTTTCCACGCGTAGCGAGATCCACCCTTTGCGAGAAGCTTCATCCCCAAAAGAAATAACCCAAACTTAACCCAGGCCTAAACCTAAACCTAAACTTTTAAATTAAACGACTGTTCGTTATAGAAGAAATGAAACAACCTCATATAAACTAAACCATAAAACCGTGTGTTCTAAAAAACGAAAGCAAAGCGGATAGAACAATATCATGAAAACTAAAAAATAGTTCTGATAACTTATGTAAAGGACATTGCAATCGAGGGTGGCTCCGTAGTGAATTTCCTATCATTTTTCTCAGAAAGTATTATCTTTATGACAAAAATCAATACAACATAAAAGGTGTATTTTGATGAGGTCTACAACTTTTATCTGAAGTATTTTTCAAAATTCCCATTATGTACAGAAATAAATAAAAAAAACTATGATTTTTATGGTTTTTTCACGATTTCATGAGCGCTTCGACGCACAGCGGGCCAGAATTGAATTTTAACTGTTCTTTCGGACTTTCGACTCAAATTTAATCATTCTTGAACTAATTTAATATTTTAGAATTTTATTGGCAGGTTGATTTCCATGCCAGTTTTATCTGCGTAGGAATAGAAATATTCAATAGTTCGATGGAGTAGAGGGGGTTGTATGATGATGGTTGTAACGCTGCAAATATCTCAAAATATACAGGGTGCCCAAAAATGTTGGGACCAAGCTTGTACTACGTGTTACTGAGGTCAAATGGATGGAAACAGTTCGTGTGAATTTATACCTGAAAATGCTTTATTGAAAAGATATAAGCGTCAGAAACAGAAAATTAATTTTGGAAATGTATTCATAAATGTCTTCACTTATTATTTCCAATAGAAATGAAATATTTGATTGACAATCACTAATTTGACGAATGAAAGCTTGCATTCTTACAGAGGGATGAATTGTCGAGCATTTTTTATAACTGCCACAATAAATCATAAATATCTTTAAATACGTGCATCTTTTCAATAAAGACATAAGTTTATATGAACTTTTTTATCTATTTGACCTTAGTAACACGCAGTTTAAATTTTGTCCCGACCTTTTTAGACACCCTGTATAACAAACATTAAAACAAGTTTCAGGTATACAGGGTATCTCAAAATCGGTAATACATGAAGAAACAAATCGAAAATAAAGAATAATATTTTTTCATTTGAGGTTTCGTTGTCGAGAAAATCAATTGTAAATATTCTAACTATGGCTTAGATAGATTTTAATACAGATTTTTATTATATTTTTTGCAGTTCGCACTCATGACATGATTTCCTGAACACAATTTTATTTGTTGTCTTAGTATGTTATTATTTTCGACTTTGACTAACCATGGCCCCCAGATTTGACACCCCTAGATTTTTATTTATGGGGTAACGAACGAGCATAAGAAGAATATTTTATGCATTCTTCAATTAAAAGCGAGAATCATTTGGCATTTGAAGAATTAAAGATAGAGAATACATTAGATTGTGTTCATATAAATCTAATTCAGAGAGTACAGTTGTGAATACAGCACAATGGCCAAATTTTCAACAATTTTTGTATCAATTAAGTTAGTTTAATAAGTAAATTACATGCCCTATTTTTTTCCACAATTGATCTCCTCGACAACGAAACCTCAAATGAAAAAATTTTATTCTTTATTTTCGATTTATTTTTTCATGTAGAATCACTCCCTTCCTGCTTGTATCACCGATGCTGGGACACCTTGTATAATGTAAAATAACGTTTGGAACACGTTCATCTATCATGCTCAAATAAAATGCTATTAGACAACTGCATAATGAAAGAAATAACTTTTCGATATTCAGAAATTAATTTTTCTTACTACTTAAAAATTGTAATTATACAGGGTGTTCGGCCACCCTTGGGAAAAATTTTAATGGGAGATTCTAGAGGCCAAAATAAGACGAAAATCAAGGATACCATTTTGTTGATGGAGGCTTTGTTAAAAAGTTATTAACGCTTAAAGTTCCGCCTGTACTGAATTTTTTTCTCGAAAATGCGCAAGATTTCGGGGGTATGTCTATCCACCAAAAATGATTGTAATTGACCCCCTCAAGCGAAAATAATTTTTTCAGAACGATTTGAAATTTTTTTTTTTCGTCGAAAAATTTATGCACCTAATTAGATTTTCGGTAAGGAATTTTTTTCTCAAAAGTACGTATGATTTCGGGGATATGTGTAATGACCAAAAATTATTATAATTGTCTCCCGCAACCGAAAATAATTTTTTTAGAACGATTTGAAAAATTTTTTTTCGCCGAAATATTTCATCAATTACTAGATTTCTTTTTCGAAAGTGGATAGAATTTCGGAGGTATGTGTATTCACCAAAAATGATTGTAATTGACCCCCACAACTGAAAATAATTTTTCGAGAACGATTTGAAATTTTTGAATTTAATTGTTAATAACTTTTTAACGAGGCCTCCATCAACAAATTGGTATTCTTGATTTTCGTCTTATTTTGGCCTCTAGAATCCCCCATTAAAATTTTTCCCAGGGGTGGCCGAACACTCAGTATATACTCTTTTAGCAAATATAATTCTATTTCCTTGTTTTGAATCTTTAATTTGGTATTGCATAAAAATATATTGATACTGAGTGTGTCATTAATGAAAATTTATAATCAAAGTTCATAAGTGTGGTCGGGGGCAATTCTAACACCGACAGTCGGTTGAAAACATACTTAATTGTTAAATACACTTTAAGACGTATAAAAGAACGTTAATCATCGTAGGGATTTGGAGAAGTATTATAAATTTGTACGGTTCTACACTTATAGATAATTTAATGCAAGAATTAGGAATTAATTTCTAGACTTAATATTTGCTGAAATCCTTTAAAGCTATTATTATATAACATAATACGCTATTCAAAATTCACGAATTTGCAGGTTTAATGTATTGCACGCTATTTGTCAAATATTCCTGTGCTTTGATGCATAGTCGTTTATAGACAACGAACGGGAAATCTTCGACGTTTGGCAAGTAGCTGAGAAACCAAGATCCATATATTGGACAAAACCTATTTGCCAAGTATCGGTGTAGCATTTGCCGAATGTGTGGATAGCCACTGTTTGTCCTATGCTCTTGTACTTTGTCGCGGAGTCGTTTATCGGCAACGAACGAGGTTATACTGAAACCATTGCAAGTGGCGAGCATTCCATTCACACATTCGATATTTGTCGATCAATGCTCGGGTATTTTTAGGACCTTTTTAATCATTCTTCGGCAAGGAACTATACGACTTTCTTTATCTAAATATCTCATACGTATTTATTGATACTTATACAATATCTACAAGTTTGATTAAAGCGAAATATAATATAAATTGAACATTCTGCATGTTCTAGAACGTAGTCAAAGAAAACAACAATATTGTCTTATGGTTTCCATAATTATAGCCATTCTACATGTACAACATTTGTAATCAAAACTGAAAATAAGTTCTTAATTAGGATGAGTCTGATTATTCTAGGTACTGAACAAAAAATAGAAAATCAATGATTAAAAAAATGGTAACAACTTGAAATTTAATTATCAATTTTCTAATGTTTTCTCCTACTTTTGCAAACTAAAAAAATATTAAAGAAACAAAACAATCAACTACTTTTAGTATGAGCTACAATGATATGCGTGCTGAAAATGCACACTAAATCTTGTGCCAAACGGTCAAAAAGTGTTAAAATATCATGAAAATTAATTAAAACAATATAGTTTTGAAAAAAAAATATCTAAAGTTTTTTACTATATTTGTGAATTAATTAAATATGAAAGAAACGAGGAATTCAGATATTGGATTCTGCACATATATTTTTTAAATCATATTTTTCAAGAAAATATAACAAGAAATCGAGTTTTGAAAGGTTTGCAACAGAACAAATAATACAGTGGAATACCATCTTAAGCAGAGGGGTTACTCTCCCCATCGAAGTTATAACATAAACGGATTTATCTTCTTAAACTCGAACAATATTGCACTATATATTAGAAGGAAACAAAAATATTCATAACAGATGCATTGAAAATTATGTGAAAGTAAGGAAGT